ATAATTTAACTCTCTTCCTGTATGCTATAATTTTTTGCATAATTGGGGATATCATAGTGAAATCTATTAATTTGATATATTTCTAATTATTTTTGTATTTTATTTCAAACTGAATTTGATCAGTTGTGAATAATTGACAAAAACACATATTTTTACACTGCGTTGAATTCTAATGAATCTTCAAAATATTCTGATTGTTTTGCAACGTATAATCCTTATTCCAGAATGAAAGACATTAAGGTGAAGAAAGGAATAAAAAAATAAAATCTCAGACTATCACCTTCTTAACCAGTACAGAACAGTAGTTGTTCTTACATAATAATAACAATAAGTAAATGTTACAGAATGTCTGTAGCAAATTTTTATGATAGTTTTGAAAATGTGAATCAGCAAAGTGTAATCATGTTGAGAAAAAGTATATGAAAAGTGACAGTAATGTGAGAAGTGAAATGAGTCCTAATAGTTACGTGCATTCAAACTACGTACTATATTTAAATAATCAGAGACACACGTACATTGAAAAGAGTTTAAAGAAGGTTGAAAATCAGTGAGTTTTTAAAGTTTGAAAGATTGTAAAAAATTCAAATGAATCTAGCAATGTGTGTATTTCGCAGAATGTCAGGTTGCCTGAAAATTCCAGGGTTTTACAGATTGCAGCAATTCGATAAATCAAGAGAATCTGTGAACTATGGAAATTTTGAAAACCTCATGGAATCGCTGAAATATCAGGAATCAATAGAATTGTAGGAATGCAAGATATGCATTGAATGCAGAGAATTTTGAGAATGTATGAGAAACTTAAGAGAAGCATCTCATGCATTCGTCAAGGATAAAACAGGACAAAGAAGAATGACCGATGAAGAAAGCATTTGATGTTGAAGAATGTATGAACAGATAAAAAACAATATCCTTTATCGACGAATGATCAAGAGAACAAAAAAGGGGATGTCATTTTTTTTTCTTGTCAAACTCCATCACTTACCGACGTATCTCGAAACTGAATTTCGTCACGTCCATAAAAACATCAAGTCAGTCTATCATCGTCAAAACACATCTATTAGATTGCATCAATTTATAAAGTGAAAAAAACTCATTTGGCAAGGGTAGTTGTCATACAACATGCAGAATTTTCATCACCACTTCATTTCATAAGTGGATGCAGCTGAGAAAAACGTATCGTGCGATGCAAGAGCCAAATGTCGAATTTCAGTCTTCTGTGAACTTTCTAAAATCCCCTCTTATCACGTTTAGTGTCGCACACTAACATACCACGAATACATCAGATTTAAGTTTTGACAGAAACCAAAGAACTAAGAGATTATAGGAATTCTCAGAACTGAAAAGCGATGTTTAATGAGAAGAATCTCAGAAACTTTACAAACCGCACGAGCCATTGAAATTCAACGAAGTCTAAGAACTTATTGAAATAAAGAGAACAGCGAAACTCAAGAATCTGTCTGTAAACAGTAGCTCTTGGAAATTCAAAGAAATAAAGAAAGCTGTCAAACTCAACAAACTACAGTAATAATCTGATCATAAGGAATCTAAATTGCTTCCAGTACTCCAATTATTAATGAAACTGGAAGAAACTTGATAATGAAACAAACTAAAAAACAGTGAATCATTCGCAGAAACATTCGAACATGCCTTTGAGAAAAGACTATGCTAAAAGGTGAATCGAACGATTTTGCGATGAATTCTCATTTTCTTATTATTAGTTTATACAGATTGGAATTGCTCATCTCACACATGTTTCTATTGTACTAAAATCTGGATGGAAATGAATTAGATACAGAGCAGAAGTTGATTGATTCCAACTAACTAGGAAAATCTATGTACACTTATGTCAAAGATGCAGATATAGCTTCGCTTTATCGAGACACTTAAGAGTTAAGGTAACTCACTGATCTAAGTATGTTTGTTTCTAATTCTAGATTCAATAGTTCTAATTTTTTCCACTGAACAATCCAAAGCGTTGATACAAGCAACAACACTTATTCTGTTTATATCGCTTGAAGAAAATTTGATTATCATCTAGTGTTGGAGAGGACAGATCGCCAATTTTCGAGAAAAAGATAGTTTTTTTCGACAAAAAAAATCAAAAATACGCTTCTAAATAAAGTAAGGATTCAGGAAATCCTGTTGGCTATCATTCTCAAATAACTCTTATATGTCCATTTGTCGTTTGTTGAGACAACGATTACAACTACGTTGGTATCCTTCAGAAAGTGAACGAAAACAAACACCTTATCTTTGGATGATTACAAAATGTTCACAAAATCATATTTTGTTTCAGATTTTTACTTCATTTTCAATTACACTATTATCTTCTGGTAGTTCCATTTACCTTTAAAAGTCATTTTCAAGAACTAATCGATAAGAGATGCACAAATTCAATAAATTGAGCTGAGCCTTTAATTCGAGATAATGTGAGCGCACTAAATTTCTGTAAAGAACAAAGTCCTTGCATTCTTGGTATTTAAAAAAATGTCAAAATGCTTTTGCTGGAATGTCATGATAGATATACAAAAAATATGAAAATCTTGTTCTAATAAGGGATATGCGCTGTCTACCCATGAACAAATTATGAAATCTATCGCAAAGAACCGAGTTACTCCGCAGGTGAACTATATCCAAATGAGAAAAGCTCTTCGAGAAGTGATAATATCATTTACAAACTTCTTTCGTGAGCACACAGCGTTTAACAAATGACAGTGATTTTATTTACATACATTTTACCATCACTAATCATTTTCACTTTCAAGGTGATAATCAACGGTATCTTACCTTTAGTTGCTGGAGGATTGGTTTCCACACCGAGGAACTAAAAAGTGATATGTTTAATGGATATCCATGTCGTAGAACGATTATCGTCTGACCTTTCTGATAGTTGACAAAAAACCACTGTTTACATTGTTGACGGCGGCTGCTGCAGCTGTGTTGTTCTATAAAGAAAAGGAGATATGGATGAACAAAAACCAGGTCACTAAGAAATTCTTTGAATTACGTACTTGAACTTTACTGAAGTCCGTGTCTATTTTTGCTTTGGTTATGCCGGCAGCACTCCTTGTCGAAGCACCTGGAATTCAAAACAATCTTTTATTTCTTAATAGGTTTTTAACGGCATTATCTATAAAACTTAATTGCTTTTACTGTTTGGTGGCTTACTCTAAGTAGAAACGGATGCCACCAGTTGTAACATAAGAAACGGAGGCTTCGTTCACCGTGAGAGTGTGGATGTAAACGAAAAGAATGAGGATGTGGATGTGGATGGCATAGTGTATGAGAGCTTAACGTAAAGGTATTAGTTTTCCTCTTCACTCTCCCTCTCACTTACTCTCTCGCTATCACCACCGCTACGTTTGGATTGGTTTAAGTAGATTTTTATGTAAATCGAACTTGATTTTTGGAAGAAAAAATAAGGCCTAATGTCTCATCCTCTTAGAATCATCCTATCACGATCCATAAAATCACTTCTTGAATTGTTCTTCAATTTTGTTTTTATTCTGTAGAAAAGTGTAATTTCCTGATGGTAGTAGTAAAACTAGACAAACTTCCGAAGCATGTGTTTATATCCTAAGATACAGATGCTTTTACAAAAATGTACATGAGAATCTCTCAGAACTGCTTTTGTTAAGTTTTCCTTGTAATAAAATCAAACATTATTTAGCGATGTGCAGTTTTAGTGTAAATACTGAAATACTGACGGTCAATCACTAATACAAGCTTCACTGGAGCATTGTTTGCACTGATATCCACACTTGCTGCAATCTAGGGTCACCAGCTACGTATACCAAAATATGCTTCAGTTGTAGTAGTGTATTCAAGTTCTTCAGTGATCATTGATGGCAATGTCAGTGTGCCGGTGTAGTCACTGATTTGATGACATCATTATTCAACAACTAACGAAAACTGCACATCTTCAAGTATATTTTTCATGAAAAAGAATTTAGCTAATATGTTTAAAATATAACATAGAGTTTTGTGTTGATTCCGAATATACTATTGATTTTGGTTTAACATTCAATTATGGTCAAAAAAGGCTGCGAAATACTACTACACTTTTGAAAAATGTGTGCGTTTTATCGTTGACACCTCAAACACAAGCCTCTCAATAATCAAAGTCAGTCGAAGAACACGACATTAGTGCATATTTGATGCTCAAAATTCAATGATTCTAATAAGATACGACACTCAGTCAGAACTTTTTTCATGAAAGGCTCGATAAATTTATACAGATCATGATAGACATAGACTCTGACATGTATCTGTAGACGAAACTCTTTTTCCATTCTTTCCGAGGGCGGGTGTAGATGCGAATAGAGAGAAGACACATCCGATCCAACATCCACCTATGCGCTCACACCTCATCCAACCACCACCAAAAAAAAGAAAAACAAATATCATGGGCAGTTCATATTTAAAATTTATTAGTTTATCATTGAGAGATTCAATTGGATCCGAATATGTCTAATGTTCGTAAAGAACATTAGAAAACCTTCAATTGCTAGAGAAAATTTAAACTTTGCAAAACAATTGAAAGACGCATTATTGAACTGTATCATATTTGGACGAACCTTGGAAACATTGTTGTCTTTTTTATGTTAATTGAATGCAACTCACGAGTAGTGAACTTTAAGAAGAATGTGCTACGCCTGAATATGAATGAAAAAGATAGCAGTTACAGATTTTCGCTCTGTTTTACACTACAAGTAGAAATTTTTATGCATATGACAAAACTTATCTAATATCTGGCTATACAATGACAGGAAAGAACAATTAAGTTTCCGTTTCATGAGAGTGTATAGAATGAATGCGGTGCAAGATTTGTTTTTGAAATGTAGGCAAACTCACCAGTAACATTGAGAGTGACAGTCATCTCTTCAGTTGAAATCTTGTTCTTTGCTGTCACCTTGTACATACCTTGATCTTCTTGCTTTACACTAGCCACTGAGAATGTATATCGTGTTGTCCCCTCGCTTATGAACTGCACTGCTTTTTCATCTTTTGTCAGCTGAACTTCCGGTATTTCCTTTCCATTCACATCCAAAACGATCTCGAATTTTTCGCCAATTTTCAAGCCAACTAGATTCGATGCTGGTGTCAGTTGGGTCAACTTCACTGGTTCCAATACTATAACTGCACATGGAGTCGATTGTACCTCACCCACCTCGTTCTTCAAGACAATTCGATAAGTACCTTCATTCTTTCCCGCTGTTGCCTGTTTGATCACTAGTTGATATTCATTCTTCGTTTCGTCTTTCGACGCATTCTCCCAGTCAATGAGTTGGCCTTCGAAAAACCATTGAGCGGATGGTCGTGGAGATCCTTTTCCAACGACTTTCAATGCGATATCTCGTCCACTTACAATTTCTTGTTGTATGGGCAAGTCTTCGATGATTGTTGGTGCAACTAGAATATCAAGTCGAACAGTTTCTTCTTGCTCGCCATATTCACTCTCCACTCGACAAGTAATTGAACCAGTATGTTGCTCAAGATTGACGTTTTGGATGGACAACTTCGATTGACCAGTTGCAGCATCGAATTGCACTTCAACGTCTTCTTTCAATGTCAACAGTTTTCCATTGAGAAGCCATGTGATAGTCGGTGTTGGATATCCATCAATCGTCGTCATGAATACTGCTGTCTCACCTTGTTTTACTTTTTGTGTCGTCGGCTTGACAATAAACATAGGTGATTCTACAACAGCATATGTATTCAAGAACAAGAATAGTCAAGACGACTTACTCGAAACAATAGCTATACACTTGTCGGATTGAAGTGATCCACCAACATTGCAAATCATGGCTGAATATTTACCTTGATCTTCTGGTTGTACATTCAAGATGGTAAGTGTGTATTGATCATCGCTACCAGTCGGTGTCGTCACTTGAATGCGATCATTGGGTATAAGTTCATTGTCGTCTCTCATCCACACAACGTGAGGTTTCGGAGTTCCACTGGCGACGACTTTTAGCGTCAAGATTTCGCCTTTTGTGACTTTCAGTACAGTATCGAGATTAGTGTTGATGACAGGTTTGATGCAATCAATCTTTAATGTTGTTTGAGCTTCAGCTTCACCAAAAGCATTGATTGCTTTAGCTGTATAGACACCTTCATCAGCAAGTTTAGCTTGACGAATTATTAGTATCGATGTTCCATCATCAGTCTCCGTTACTTGTAGACGATCATTGGTTGGAAGTGGTTGACCGTTGAAGAACCATGCCACTCGTGGTTTCCCGATGCCACTGAACTTCCATAAAATTTGAGTATCTTGACCAAACATACATGATTGATTGTTTTCTGATATTGGAGCTTCCACTTTTGGTAAAACTAAAAAATAAGTAATCGTTCGTATTGTACATGGGAGATGATGAGACTACTCGGGGTGTCAGCATATGTGAATAGAAGACTCACACCCATACGCTGCCACTCACATTCCGCACTTTTCTCTATGTGTTTAGCTTAATCAATGAAGTTGAAGGTTTTAGTTTAAAAAGCATTTTTTTTCTGTAAGTGCGAATTTATCAATCAGTTTTCGTTCAACCATTTTCTGTGGAGTTGAGTAAGTACACCCTTTCAAATCCAGTACATTTCTTGCTCTCTTAATAAAGATAAGATGCACACCTTTCGTTTGGTGAATATGCATATACGTAATTGCTAGTTTAAGGAGCATTTCTCTCAGATTTGGGATATCATTGAAAAGTATCATGAACCTGTATACCAGATTTTATTCATTACCAACTATTTGGTTTTTGAACCAGGTAACCAGCATTAAGAATGACTAACTGTGGCACCCATAAACAGATTTTCACTTCACCTACACCTAAGATGTATGTTCACGTTAATCAGCAATGGACAGGACATGTTAACTTTACTAATTTTAAAACTCTAACAAATCACATTTTTCTATCCAATATTCGATATTTAATTAGAATCAATTACTTCCACATTGTTCAAAATATAACAATAGGGAAAAACGAATAAATGTCGCCAAAAAATCCATTAATTTTTCGACACATATCGAATATTATCCAAAATTTATAAAAGGACATGTGAAGAGGAAATTTGTCAATAACAGTCAAAACTTCAACTTTTCTCCCTTAGTATGTCCTGATTGATCAATAGTTCTTGATTTCTCACAGCCATATCTTGATATCAAAAAGCAATTATTTTAGTAGAAAATAAAAGCAAATTTAATTGAACGAAAATGAAGCTATATTGTTTACAGGTTACTTATTGCGGAAAGCAAGTTGTCCTATCTTGAGTAAGGTGCCATAAAGATTTAACTGATTTGAACTTTTCACTAGAGAAAGTATTTCTTGAGAAAATACTAACTACTAATAATGTTTAATCAGCGAATCTTCAGATTGAAAAATTTGAATCTCTATGAATGATTCGGCAAGAAACGCATCAAGCGGTGAAATATGTAGGAACAACTCAGCAACTCAGAGCCCCTTGATTTCCGAAATCTTTGACGAAGTTGTCGAAGAAGTTGCCACTTTTTGGAAAGTAAAGACTTACTATCATATTAAAATTCGATGCACAAAATTTTCGGTTACACATGAAAAGATTAAAGATCGATAGTGGTAACTAAGCCTCATCTACTATTGAATTGATATCTTTCAAAAATAATTCCAATGAATTACTACCTAGGTAAAATATCAAATTATAAGGAATGAGTCATAAACACTGACATTCTTAGTATCTTTGAAATATTTTTGTTATAGTCTGAAAAATTATTTTTTTGATAGTTGTTGTCTTTTACAGTGTAAGTCAAAGATTCAAAAATCTCAAGAGTATCGTCACGGGAGATCTTATTGCACTGATATTATGGCATAAGAAAAATTGTTTTATTCATTGCAACTATCATATTTGTGATCAACGTACGTCAAATAACATATCTATATGCGTTGAAACGTGAGAAAAAATAATGTTTTTCTCGAGTCTCTGGGGTACATCTGGTCGTAAAAATTATGATGTCACATATACTCAAATTGGAATTGCACAATACAAAAACAACTCGCATATGAAAACTGAACTGTCAACTTTCTTTGAAGGAACTTTTCTAGTAATAATATTTGCGTTTAAAAGTGATAAACAACCAAAGTATACAATCAAATCAAGTTTACCTGACTTTCCAGATGTATCACCAAATATAGGAATATTCTTTAGTAATGTTTCAAAAAATATCGGTATTATTCTCTTTCGAACTGCTTGTAAACCTTGTAACCAACCATGTTCAGCAACATTATCTAACGCTAATTCATACAAATTGTCTTTATTTTTGACTTGACTTTTTTCTAATAATTCAAATAATCTTGGACGATAAAATTCACGTAATGCTTTCAATAAGACCGATCGGATTTTAATATCAGAAAAATTTTCTATAGATTTTAAACCATTATTGGTTATTACACACCATAGATCATTGAATACATTTGTTTCATCCATACATGTGTCATCAATACCTTCAAATAGAAGTTGCAAAACAATTGATAATACAGGGCAATCTTTCAAGTATTTAGTGCCATATTCAGCTGTACGTTTCAGAACAGAATCATAATTCACAGTATCTTTATATTCTTTTAAAAATAAGATAAACCATTGATTTGAAGAACCATATTTTACTTCCCATTGTTGTTCAAAGTATTTTTTCAGGGATTTCATCAGTTTTCCATGGTTTTCATTTATTGCTGCTTCATAGATGTCTGGTAGAAGGTATTTCTCATACTTAGACAACGATTGTCGACCATTTTCTAACAAATCATTTATAATTGTATCTTTTATTTCATATTCTTCTAAGTTAAGAGCGCGTATTATTTCATTCTTGGCTGATTTTAATACTTCATCATCGACGACATCGTCAAGCTTTCCTGTTGAAGAAAAATGAATTATTGATAAACAAAGAGAGGGGATGACTGTGGGGTGTGGGTGTGGGGTGTGGCTGTGGG